ATAGGTTTAGTTATATACAAACCCTTTCCATTCGTCGCTTCTATTCTCAAGCTACCATGAGAATCATCTATCATCAAGCTCTCATGAATATCGCTAAGTTCCCGAAGCAGAGAAGATACACCCGTATCATGGTTCCCCCCTTAAGGAACTTAAAGTCTCGTTCAAGTTAAAATTTCAGCTGAGAAAACTCTCGAGCTCCTCCTATTTTGTTGAACCACTTGGTCTTGTTAGGAACCTGACATTGACGTCCAACCAGAAACGACTCCTTGTCCCCCGTCTAGTCATAGTCATCTTCCGCTCTAATATGCAATCCTCTTTCAGTGGCTCCTCTCTATCAAACCACAAGTCTTCAACATGCAGCAAGATCACTTTGTCGTCACCCTCATCGTCCAACAATGGAGGTTCAAACAACTTCAAGTACTTAGCATTGATCACTGAATACATGCCTAAGTAAGGTAGCAAATCTAGCTTGAAGGCGTTGTCACCGATCTGATCGAAAATTCAAAACGGACCATATCGTAAAGGCTTCAACTTCTTTCCTTCTCCCTTTAGCCGCTCCTTACCTAACTTCAACCATACTATATCATCTTTGCCAAAGTTACAAGGAACTCGATGCTGATCATGATTCGCCTTGTACTTCGCTTGTGACTTCTTCAACTGTGGCGTGAATCTGCGCAATCTTATCTAGAAATCGCTGAACCTTCTGTCTTTCGCTTCCTTCTATGCCGTCGGACGTAGCATCACTAGAGAATACTAAATCGAACGGACTTGGAAATAAGAGCCTATAACAAGTCTCAATGTAACAAGTCTTAAACGGTGACTTTCCCGAAGATCCGTGAACAATCCTGTTGAAAGCAAATTGAAGATATGATAAGCTCTCATCCCAAGTCTTGGGATGCCTGGAATTATACCCCCGTAGCATGTAAACCATAGTCTGATTTACTACTTTCGTCTGTCCGGCTGTCTGTGGATGAAAGGTCGTGCTCTTCTTCAATCTGGTGTCCATCAAACTCCACAAAAAATCCCAAAAATGCCCAAGGAACCTGCTATCCCGATTCGAAATAATCGAACTCGACAAATCAAAGTGCTTCCACACATGCTCAAAGAACAACCGCGCTGCACCGCTCTCGTCACTATCTTCTTACAAGGAATCAAGATCACCATCTTCCTGAACCTGTCCACCACAACGAACAAGTAAACATGCCCGCGCTTAGTCGTCAGCAACCCTCCTAGGAAATCCATTGAGATACTCTCCCGCGGTCTAGAAGGCACCGGTAACGATAGATACAATTCTCGTTTTCTGTTGGAAGGTTTTGATGTGCAACATAGCTTACACCCTCCAACATACTTGATAACATCCTCTAATATTTTTAGCCAAAAGACATGACGTCGAAGATTGAGAAGCATCTTTTGAATCCCAAAATGACCTTGCACACGCGATGTATGTGTTAGATATAGATGCCCTGCAGTCAATAATTGCATGTTGTAACAAGACCTATATGAATATAACATCCTTGTTCAAAATGATAGTATGCTATTTTGGTCAGTATTTATTAGGTATTTTTTAAATACAGATATAATACTTAGAATGATACTAGACTATCAGACATTTCGGATATAATCGTAATGAAGAGATCTGATTTGTCGTTAACCTTAGAATGATACTAGACTATCAGACATTTCGGATATAATCGTAATGAAGAGATCTGATTTGTCGTTAACGTATATTCTTAAATGTTCCTAGTCGATGAAGTGTTGAAATGAGACATCATCACTTTGGGAAGACTAGTGTATACTTTATTTCCCCTTTGGTAGGATGATCCATCTCTTGGATCATTGATATGAGACATCAAGATATAGTATACATGTGACTCATTAGTGAATGAGTTGACTAAATGACTCATTGAAAACATCTAGTTGGTAATTATATTTAACTGTCAAATAGAAGTTCTCAAGTGATATAGTACATAGTAGTCTCTTGACCTGAGGCATGAATGCAATATCTTACATGTCAGTATATGTGTACTTAGACTTTTACCTAACCACAGTTCTCATTGAGTTGTGCATAACGGTTCTTATTGGGTGCATCCCGAGACATAAGTAGATATTGAGATGCCAAGATGGGATTCTTCTCTCCCAGTATAGGGGGTTGATGTCATAAGATTGTTTGATATAACTATAACCTAGAAATCTTTGGTCGAGATAAATAAGATAAACTGAGTGTCAGTTTGATCTTATAGGTTATGAGTTTAATATCAACAAACACTAATTGAGCTATTAGGGTTTGATAGTTTTTCATATCCTAGTCTTAATAGTTTGACATGGTTTGACGAAGAGACCAGACTGTACGGTATTATCACCGTGTGGTCCTGATAAAATTATGTAAGCATCTTGCAGACATTTATCACAACTTATACCCGGATAGTCTTCATGTGTAGCTAGCACATCTGTTG